AAAGAGTTACACATCATCATTATCTGTTCGTTCTCCCAGGACCAAAACAAATCCCTGACCCCATTTTAAAAACTCTCATTAGTAGTACTTCTAAAAAGCCCTGTCACAGCCTACTCTGAGTGTGGACAGTGAAAAGCATCTGTATCCATATCTTAGAGGAAGAGGAGAAGTGCCCTGTTAAACTAAAACTGTCCCCGAGGTTCTGGATACCAAGTTTCCTAAACAAGATACCTCTTCCTGATGCTGGCCAAAGGTCTAATGAGTTATTTGGTATCTAAAATGGTAGTGATCCAGCACAGTCTTTTCACAAATGTATGCTCTCACTAAGCTAGCTGGGTTTTTTTTCTGTGAAAGCTGTAATTTATTTAGGCATTAGTCCTTTCCCAATATAAAACCTAACCCCAAGAAATTGAAGCTTTTTAGCCACCACCTTTTCTCCCTAGCGTTCTGATCCCTAGCAACAGGTCTGGCTTCAATCAGCAACCTTTATACCCTCTCTCTTTTAGCAAATACAGTCCACCTGCGTGCTCTCAGCCTCCCACACTCCATGTTCTATTGCTGGATATGCTCCTTAATAGCCTGATTCACAGGCAGAGCCAACTACCATTTATTTAATTAGCCATTTAAGAACCTAAACCTTTCAGCAACCCCATTTAATACCATAGTAATATTACTGGGATACTAAACAAATTCCATGGTCCTCTGTATTAAATAAATAAGTGAATATTATACTGAAATTATGGAGAAAACCAGAGTGGGCCAGGTTTATTTTGAGGGCAACTCTGCTAAATTTGCATCAATTAAGGTAAATAGCCTCATTCCAGCTAACCAGACTAAAGGCTTTTTAAAGACAGGATGAACCATTCAAACTATGCCTAAGTCCTACTCAGGGTAGGTAGTTTTGCTAAATAAGAGTTTATTTATTAATGCATACCACAACTGGTATTTCAGTGATAAAAGGAAGACCAAGTTAATTATGTAAGTTGTCCATTGAAGCAGGTAAGCTCACTCCCAGAGGTAAACACAAAGTTGATGCCAACAGAAGGGGGACTTTGGACAAGCTGGAGGTTCATGGCAGCACCTGCCAGTTCATAAATTGTAGGTGCATGATGAAAAATCATACAGAGAAGTGACTGCAACCAGATGACACCATTTAAACTGCTGTCAACACATTTCCATCATCACTGTTGCTGCTGTCTGGGTAATATTAATGATCTCTTTGCCATCCAAGGTTTCAGAGCCAGGTGTGAAATGCACACGGTCCCTGTTGTGAGATTAGTAGTTTCTTTAAATAACACTCAGTACCTTCTATAAGCTCTTATCATTGGCATAGTCCATTGGATGAATTCACATGGCAAATCCATGGCAGAGACAGAAATAAAGCTCAGGTCTACCATTTCATAGCCTTTTGTTCTCTTTGCTGTACTCTGCTGTTATTTAAAATGAATAGGGCAATAAACAAGGGGAAAAATTGCTCAATGAAGAAAAAGAAACTTAGAGGACAGAGTTTCCTTACCCATCAAATCCTATGGGGAACACAGTGCCATTATTTCTGTGCTTAAAGTTAAGCATGTTTAAGTCTTAGCAAGATCAGGACCTGTATTATTTACAGAAGCATATCAGAGCCCCTGTCCTCAATGACTAATATCATAAACATGCAACTTTCTGTGTAGTATGGGCCCAAAGCATTAGACAGCAGAATGAAAGAGACTCTCAGATTGGGACACTCAGCAGAGATCTGGCTGTCATAACAAAGCTGCTCCAGTGGAAAACTATTATATAGTGTGTTTTTTTTATTGAGGCCAGGGCCTTATCAATTAAGTACTTGAAAACTCACAGGAATTAAAAACCAAACACTACAAAACTAGAAAATCAAGGAGCTATATAAAACTATTGCACTTGCAGTGAGATGCAAGTCCTTGAAAAAGGACTTAGGAACCTGAAATGGGAATTCTAAATTGGGTAGAAGAGAGGTGCCTAAGTCCAAACTGTGATCCTAGAAAGCCCTTTTCAGCTGCTGTCTAACTCTGGGGGTGTTTTCCCAGTCACTTCAAAGGTCTGCTTCTGTTCCTGCCAGAGTGCCTCACCTTAACGAGTGGTGAGTACTTCAGCACCTAGCTCATGCCTCAGCCCACTCAGGAGCTGGAAACTAGACAATCACTTGCCTATGAGTCCTGGGAGACCAGATCTGGGAAGCCCTCTCAAGGCACACTGAAGACACATGGAAAGGAGTGGGCTCCTCACAAAGTGACGTGGTGGTCAGTGCTCTGTAAAATGCAGCTACAAGTTTGTATGTACCCCTCCTTTATGCAGTGGTCTAGGGGCTGCAGTCCAGGATATGGGAAATCCAGGTTCACTTGCCTCAGTTTCCTGAAGGCCTGCAAATTCACATTTCTCTCCTTGCAGAAGAGTGCCTTAATCTCCAGGCTACAGGCTGTTCTCTCCAACCCTTCTGACCAACAATGAATTTAGGATTTAATAGGTCAGGAGAGGATGTAAGAGGGAGCACAATCTGTAGTGTAGTGCTTAGGGCACTCATCCGAAAGCGAAATGCAGGCTTCCATTCCTCTCACCACAGACTGCTTCAGTATTTTACCGAATGCCGGTTTCATATAAAACACATAAGCAGTCCCGGGAGCAGCAGATCAGAATAGCAGGGGACTGCTGAGAATCTAGGCCTCACCCAAATGCACAGGAATAAGGACCTGTTTCCACATTTATAACAACACTATAAACACTATTTCATGAGTGATGGAAAAGAAAGGCTTTGCAAAGTCAGGGCAGGGATTCGGTTTGCATAATGTTTACAGTGAGTGGACTTTGCACTCCAGATGTGGCTGCACCCTGAATGCATGGTGGCTTGCTTGGATAAAAGTTAAGTCTTGTTCAGCCTTCAGTGCCAATCCTTTCTCTTCATTATCACTGTTAAAGATGAGCAGTGGGGATACTGTTGATGCAAGATGAAGCACAG